CCACCAGACGCACCACCACAGACACACCACACACCACCATACACTACCACACACCACCACAGGCACGCCACACACCACCACACACCACCACACACCACCACGAACACAGCACAGACCACGAGACCACCACAAACCCACATACCACAAGCCACTATACACTAGCAGAGAACACATCACTGTGAACATACCACCGACCACCACATACTACCACAAACACTGTAGACCACCACAAACACCCCACAGCACCACAAGCAGACCACAGCCCACTGTACTACAAGTAAATTTTTTCAGAAAGTCGCTATTTGAAGCAGGGAATGAGATGCCAGCTGCAGCAAGACACCTGGCTGCATTGCACGTGAGCAGCCCTGGGGAGGGCGGGTCAGGAGAGAAGCCACCACGTTGTTTGGAGAGGCTGAGGGAGAAGGAGCTGTGCTCCAGCTGGGGCAGTGGCTCCCGACAGGCTCTGGGTTAGTAACCCCGAAGCACCCGGTGGACGCTAGTGCCCCGGTGAACAGGCGAGCAGGTACATTGCAGACGGCGAGCGCCAAGCGACGGCGACCACCAAAGGAAGACGGTACCAACAAGGAGAGGAGGGCGGCTGGGGGACTGCACACCAGAGCCTGGAATCAGAGGCGTCACCACAAACGCATGCTTTTGTAACAGTGTTTGAGAGATAGGTAGGTATGTGTTAAGGGAGAGGGGGAGGGAGAGAAAGGGGGAGGCAGGGGGAAGGAGGGGGGAGGGAGAGGGAGGAGGGAGAGAGAGTAGGGAGAGGGAGAGGCAGGAGGAAGGAGGGAGAGGGGGAGGGAGAGAAAGAGATCCTGCCAGAGCCCCGGGGGGCTTTTTTTCTGTGGGGGGGGGGGGGGGGGGGGGGAGGGGGGGAGAGGGAGGGGGGGAGGGAAGGGGGGAGGGAGAGGGGGAGGGAGAGAGAGAGGGACGGAGAAGGAGGGAGGGAGGGAAGCACAAGTTTGTTCACGCACGTATTTCCAGGCCGTGTCTGACGGCACACAGGCTGGTTCGCACACGTATTTCCTGGCTGTCGTCAGAGGACCTGGAAATACTGTCACCCCAGTAGCAACAAGCACACCCTGGTCGGCCAGAGACCGTGGTTCTGAACACCGCTCTCCAACACAGAAACCAGAGCTCCTTGGGGAAGGGGTCACAGACCCTGACTTGCAGGGACGGAGAGGAAGAGAGTTCACAGCAGCACAGGCCCTCAGGGCAGGGCGCCAGCCTGCTGGAGCATCTGAGTGAGGAGACATTCGTGGCCTCTCCGGGCCATGACCCAGGGACAGACTGAAGGGGCAGAAGCACACAGTGCAATAAATAAGCAAAGAAATAGGGGAAAAGGCGCAGGTCCTCTCTACAGGAAAATTCTAACCAAGGAAATAGAAGGAAGGGGGAGAGGACGTCCCACGGGAGGAAGTGCAGCAGGGAAGATCCAGCAATGGCGCGGACGTTGCGGGGACATTCCTGGAGAAACGTGGTCTCTTCGGTCTCCGCGGATCTCCCCCGACACACGCATCCATTACAGGAGACCTTGGCAGGCGCCTCCTTAACCCGGTGCTCAAGCTTCCGGTGTCAGTGAGGAAACACATCCACCCCAGGCACACTGGTGGGTACATTAGGGTCCATCAACCTGGGCATTTCCCCCAGATGCACCGTCTCCACAGAACCACAGGCCAGGCGGACCTGCCTGAGGAATCTTCTGCCAAATAACCGGCCTGTTCTGGTCCAAGTGTCAAGGTCAAGAGTGATGAGGAGGAACGGTGGCAGGCACCAGAGGCAGGATGGGCAGAGGCAGGGTGTGATCCTGGAGCAGGGAGGAGGATTTGCCTGGAGGAAAGCTGGCAAAACAGAGCTCAGAGTGTGGCTGAGTTAGGGCTTTGCAAGTGTATCGTGATTCTGCAAGACGGGACATCACGGAAGCCGGCTGAAGGGTACACGGGACCCTCTACACGATTTGTGCAGCTTTAGATCTAAAATTATTTCAATATCAAAAGTTGGGGGGAAGAAACTAACTGGAGAGAAAGGAGATGCTGAAAGCACGTGTCACTTTTACTGTCCAAAAATACACTCAAACAGGCATCATCGCGGTTCCTCTGCCATAGAGGGCACACCGTGCACCTGCCGCCCTGCGGCGAGGGCCTCTGCTTCTGACGCGCTTGGGGCTGGTGGTCCAGGACATGGTCCAGGCGTGTGGGGACCATGGCACAGAAGCTCTCTGCTGGCTGCAAATTCAGGTCGTAGCTCTTTCCTGACATCCTTCAGACTCAGGCTGGTGCCTGCACCCTCGGACACGGTGGGAGACGACCTGAGCAGATGAAGGCAGCCTGACTTCAGAGGAGCCCTGGGGGCTGGTGGCCTCGGCCCAAAGTCCCGCTCTGCTCTGTCGCCTCCCCCAAGGGGGCCGGTGAAGGCATCGCTGTCCTCTCCTCACTTGACCCAACAAGCTCAAGAGGGTGTCGCCACTCACAGCTCCGGGTTCTGACCACGGGTCTCCCGCCCCTCGGGGTAGCCACAGGGTGTCTCGCTGGTGCAACACGATGGCTTGGGGCTTACTGGCTCACGCACGCCTTCCTGCTTGGTGTCGCTTTGGAGGCTCGCTCTCTGACCCTGGGAGGCTCCCGTACCCGAGAAATGGCTCCATCCAGGGAGGCCGCCCATGGATGTCCAAGCCCCAGATGTCACCGAGGGTGGCTGTGGGGGACCATGCTCCCCAGGCCCCCCTCTCCTGGCCAGGGGTCCCCTCTGAGATTCGTCAGTGGGGGGACCTGCTCGGGGCTGAGCACGGCCTGGACAATCTACCTGCCCGGCTGTGAGGCGTGGCCCACAGGGGGTGGGAGTGACGCAGCCGGGAAGCCTCCACGAGACGTGTGCATGTCCACACCGTGTGTGTCGCTAAACTGCAGGGTGTTCACCGCCCCAGCCACCCTTGGGGGACCCGGAGGCGGGTGGAACCCCCGCTCTGCGACTGCGCCAAGGACTGCGTCCTTGCCACACAGCTGGAAACGCTGCGCTTGGAGCCCCCACCCTGTGACTGCACTATCCTTGCCACACAGCTGGAAACGCAGCGTGGAACCCCGCCCTGTGACTGCACTGTCCTTTACACGTAGCTGGAAATGCCGCGTCTGGAGCTCTGGCACTTGCTGCGGACCAGCGTTCCCGGGGAGGCAGCCGGAGCTCCTGGCAGTCACAGGAGCCGTGTCCTGAGGGCTGGTGGGCCTGCGGTGCCCTCGTGTGCCAGGGCTGGGCCTGTGGTGCCCTCGTGTGCCAGGGCTGGGCCTGCGGTGCCCTCGTGTGCCAGGGCTGCGGCTGTTGGTCTCCCGCTACTTCTAGAATGAGCCCCTGCAGTGGACTTTCTGTCCGGAGGCTGTGCCTGGCACACTCGGGGGATGCAGGAGGCAGATGCTGCCTGGTTCCCAGGTCTGACCCACACGAGGACAGCGCCTTGTCCATGCTGTGCCTGTGAACGTGGGCCCAGGGGACCCGCAGGATGGAGCTGCCTGTCCTTTCCCGAGTCGAGGGTGGTGGTTGCACCTGCCTGTCCCCCTCCCATTTTCTATGCAGGGAGATCTCTCAGGAACAACAGTGCCTGTGGTCTCTGGCCACTGCCAGCCATGGGAGACACAGGTGGCTCTCAGACAGGGTGTGGGTTGGAGGTGGGGGACGTGGAGTACTCCTTGGGTAGCCCCCATGGAGCTGCCACTTCCTCCCCAAGAACTGGCTCACCCTGAACCAGAGCCCCACAGAGTCCCATGGACACTACAGATCTTCAGACTTTCCCACAGGGAATCCTGCTGGCAAGGAAAAGTGCCATGGTGGGGCCTGCCCTGCCCAGTCCTGACCTCTTCCCCTGCTGGGAGCAACCAGCACCACCTCCCCAGAGAGGACACCAAGGGTGCCAGGTCTGAGCGTGGGACAGTGCTCATGGGCAGGTGCATGGGAGCCACGGAGGGAGGCAAATGTGGAGGGTGGGAGGGAGGGAGTGAGGGAGGCACATGAGGGAGGGACGGAGGGACACGAGGTAGAGAGGGAGGGAGGGACACGCAGAGAGAGAGGGAGGCACACGAGGAAGGCGGCCTCAGTGTACGTGCGGGGTTTCTCCTTTTCCACACAAGCCTCTTCCTGTGAGTGGACGGAGGCCAGCTGTGCAGGTGTCAGGTACCTGCCCCATGTCTGCAGCACCTGCCTCACACCCTGTGCACCCCACCCCTGCCCCAGCCACCATCATGCCACGCCCCACGTAAGCCCCTGGCTCTGTCCCGTCAGTTGTGGGAGAGGTGATCCTAACGGGTCAGCACATGGAGGGGTGGCAGAGCCATGCGGGTGCAGACTGGGACGCAGAGGTGTGAAGGGGAGGCTGCAGCTCACCTGGCAGGGAGGGTGCGCCTGTGAATTTAATTCTCATCTCAAATGGGGCTGCGTTCCCTAAGCAGCATGGCTAGGCCAGGAAGGAGGCGTGTGGGCCCGTGCTGGGTCACCACACAGGGCGGGAGAGGAAAGGCCATTCCCGTGGACAGACCTTACCTGTCAGCCACTTGGACCACAGCTCCCTTCCTGCGCCAGCAGAGCCACAGGGGCGTCCACGTCCCTCCCCTGGGCTGCCCCTTGTGCGCGAAGGCTTCGGGTGAGGCTTCGGGGTCCACCGGGGACTGGGCCTCACTGGGGTCTGCGGCCCACAGGTCTGGGCTGTGCAGGGGCTTCCAGGCTGGGTGGCTCTGGGCACCCAAGGCCTCCGTGGCTTCTGGAGACGCACTATGGAGGCAGCCTCTGGCATCCGTGCCCTAGCCAGCTCTGCCCCTTGTCCCACCTCCCGTCACCACGCTCCCCACAGCTTCCTCCACTCGGTCCTGTGGTGCTCCCGGCTGGCGACCTGGGCAGGATTGTGGCCTTCTTTCTCAGGCTGGGGGAGGCAGAGGGTTGATGGCACCATGAGGCCCATGGTGGCCACGGCTCTTGTCTATCCCCCAGAGATGACGATGAACAAGGGGGGGGTGTGGGGTCTGTTGGCCAGCGAGCGCTCAGGACCCCAGCAAGATGTCGCAGCATCGGAGGGGCCCCTGGGGTGTCTGGAGCCCTCCCGGATCATCCCAGGGAGCCTCAGGTTCCCCTGAATGAAGGTCGCCGTCCAGGCTGCTATGTTCAACCTCATCTTGTCACCAGGCCCAGCCTCTGTTGTTTCTGAAAATCTTCCTCCAGATACCAGGGGCAGCTACAGTGAGAACCAAGAGGCGGGGGCCCGAGGCTGGTGCTTCTCACAGAAGCGGTTCTCACCCCTGCTTGGCAGGGAACGTCACACATCCCTGGAACTGGGATGGGGGCTGCCGTCCAGGAGAAGGGACCCAGGGTCCAGCAGCCAAGGGCGGGCTCCCCGGGAGAAGCCCCCGAGAAGTCAGAGGGGCCAGTTCTAGTTCCGGCGCATCCCCGGTGGATGGGAGCTGCCCCTTCTCACTCTTCCTCCACGGGACGGGCGTGCAGAGACCAAACCTCCCTGGGTCTTCAGGGTGGAGACGTGACATCCCACTGTGTCCCTGCTCTTTGGTCCCACTGGAGGAAAAGGGTCCAATTCAACGTGGGGCTAGAAGAAAAGAAACGCAGAGTGCAGATGTCAGTGAGGTTCTGCTCGGCTGGAGTGAGGGGCGAGGGGCGAGGAGCTTCCTGGAAAGGGGAGACCCCTTCCACCAGGGGAAGCTCCTCTGGGAACCTGCTGAAGGGTGGGGACTCGAGGACTGAGATGAACAATGATGTGATGTCCCACTTGCCCCTCTTCTAGTTTGGAGGGAGGCAGCCCTCTGGCTGGCGTGTGACCTGGCCGAAGCAGAAGCTGCTGTCAGCCACGACTCCAACTATCCTGGCCTGAGCCACCCCAGCCTGGCAGGGAGGTGGGCCCCTCCGCTGAATCTCCAGCATGCCCAAACCTGTGCTCAGCACCACCCAGAAAAGAATGAGGACGAGTCACAGAACCACTGTGTCTGCCCCCAGGGCCAGCTGCCACGTGCCGCAGAAGCAGAAAGGCCCCCTACAGAGGATCCTGGGTGGTTCTGCTACACCGGGCAGTGTGAGGAGCCTGCCCTTCTTCCCTCTCAGGAAAGGAGAGTGCCCGGCAGCCTCTACAGCGGAAGACCTCCGGGTCCTGACCTCCGGGTCCTGACCCCCAGGGAGGGACTTCCGGTTTGAAGGGCCGGGTGGCTTTCTAACAGCCCTTCTGGGAAGGTCATCGCCTTTCGGTTTATCAGACCGCAGGCGGGCAGCTCTCTGGCAGGGCAGGGGCCGAGGTGTCTTCTGGGAGGCAGAGTGGGACCCCTGCCAGCCCCGTCAAATAAATACTCACCAGGTCAGGGTGCCAAGATGGGCTATGACCAGAGAATGAAAGCTAAGGAGAAAAACAAGAACAAAAATAAAAACTGAAACGGAAAGGGGAGGATGGAGAAACGGAAGGAAAGAAAGAGAAAAAAGAGTTTGTAGTACTTCTGGCAAGAAATACACAGGATCAGACTGAAGCAGCAGGGCTGCCGGCAGCAGGAGAGGATGAGCTTCAGGACCCTCCGAGGGAGGGAGGGGGACGCTGCCCAAATCCCCGGGCCTTCGGGGCAGCGCGGCCAGCCCTAGGAACGCTCTGGGGGACGCTGCACCCTGCAGACGCAGGCGGTGGGCGCTGGTCCTCACACCCAGCGTGTCCCCAGCACTGCAAGGCCAGCTTCCCGGGACCCGGTCTCCTCCTCCCTGAAGCAAAACCCATCACTGAGACCTGCTGCAGGAATTTTCCGTGGCAGCACCAGTTGGCTAATAATGATGGTGAGAGTTGTACTGAAAGACATTCCAAATGCCCAGGAAACAACGGCACTCCCATGGCAATCTTTCTGTCTCAGTCCCAGTACAGGCAGCAGAGTGCAAGCAGCACCCTGAGCTCACCAGGCCCGATTCTGGGCTGGGGGTTGGGAGCCAGGCCCATCCGGACACGAGAGAAAATCAGGCATGGGACAGGATGGATTTAAGAAATAACACCTGATCTTTTTTTTTTTTTTTTTTTGGAGACAGGGTCTCACTCCGTCACCCAGTCTGGAGTGCAGTGGGGTAATCGTGGCTCGCTGTGGCCTCAACCTCCCAGGCTCGGGAGATCCTCCCACCTCAGCCCCCGAGTCACTGAGATCATAGGCGGTGCCACCACGACCAGCTATTTTTAAATTTTTTTTCTAGAGACAGGGTCTTGCTATGTTGCCCAGGCTGGTCTCAAGCCATCCTCCCATCTCGGCCTCATAAGGTACTGGAATTACAGGCATGAGCCAGCGCGCCCAGCCCTCACACTTTTCTGGTATTTAATGTAAACAAATGTCCTTAGGTGAAGATGCAAAATGAAACAGACATTTGGTTTGGGGGAAAGGCTTTGCCCTCTTGGAGGCTCAAGCCCCAAGAACGCTGTGCCCCTCCCCCCCACTGCCAGGTGCCCGGGTGCTGGCAGGTGCCTCCTCATGTGGCCTGGTGTCTACTGGGGCCACACAGGCTGTGCCTTGAGTAGCTCGTTCCTCAGGATGATGATTCTTGCCCGCGGCAGTGAGTGCCCAGCGGAAGGGCGCGCATGCCACTGCCTATGAGGGGTGGGGCAGGGCTAGGGTGGGGTGTGGGGTGACACAAGGCCCCTCTAAGGCGACTGCTGTCCAGAGGGACCCGGTCTCTCCTGGCAAGCGCAGAGCATCTGTGGGCTCAGCACAGCACATGCCAGCCATAGGGGCATCCCAACGCCAGCCTCCTGTTCTCTCTGGAAGGATGAGACGGAAGGTGGGACCACTGGCCACTTCATTCAGCCCTCGGTGGGAGCTGGTCGCTTCAGTGAACTCTACTGCACAGGCAGGACTGATCACAGTGGAGTGAACAATGTCACCCCAGACACCACTGAACCGGCCCCACGTGGGAGAACCTGCCCTGCCCTGAAAGCCTGCAGGCACCCCGGACAGGAGAGTTGGGATTCTCTGCCACGCCCTCCTCACCTTGACCTGGGGGGCACCAAGCCTGTTATGTGCATGGACAGAGCACCCCTGACCCCACATCTCATGGACAGCCCTCCCCAGCCCTGGCGTGTGGCTTCAACCTAAATGCCCTTCAACAGGCGCTTCTGATCTGGGAACTTGACTTTTAGACCAACACAGGGTGAACCCACAGGGCTCAAAGACATCCGCACAGCCCAGGCTCCAGTGAGGGAAGGAACCCGAAGCCGTTGGCTCCAGATGGGGAAACTGAGGCCACAAGAGGAGTGGCTGCTCTGAGGTCACACAGTGGGCCCTGGCAGGGGAATTCCCAGGCCCTGGGGCTCCCATCTCCCGGTTCAGAGCCCTTGTGGCCAGCACCCAGAAGGCTTTTCCCACTCAGCTCCACCCAGCCTTCGGGCGGCTGCCTCCTGCTGCTGTCAGGAGCTAAGTCTGGTCTCCCAGAGGCCTGGGGCTGAGTCATAGGTCAGAGGGACCCTGGGCACCTCTCACTTGATCTCAACAAGACAAACCCCGAAACCCCATGTGTTTTACCTTTTCCTCCAGTTCCTTTATTTGTCTCTTCTGAGCTTCTATTCTTTCTTCTAACTCTTTAATTCTCTGTAAGGTTAAAAAGAAGAACATCAATAGTCACGATACTTAGCAAGCCCAAATCTTCCAAGATGTTCGCTCATTTCCTTGGTAATAAATAGTCACAGAGCAGCTGGTACAGCCATGGCCTGTGGCTACTGACGAGAACACACGTCTCTGTCAAGCTCCGGCGGGAGACAGAGGGCCTTCCCCGTGCCACACTCCCCATGGCAGGAACTTCCCCACGCCACATTCCCCATGGCAGGTGAGCGGAGGGCCCTCCCCACGCCACACTCCCCACGGTGGGAACAGTATCCTCCTGATTTCTGCAACTTCAGCTCGGAAAGCACAATGCCCAACACTCAGGGAAATGGTGGGAATGGACTCCTGGACCCCTAGATGTCACTGCAGCAGAGTAAGGAGCCGCCAGAGGATTGCAGGCAGAGCCGGGCACAGAGCGAGCCTCCTGGCAAGGGGGAATGCCAGTGCCTTGGGTCCCCCAAGCCTCCAAGCTCCAGCTGTAGCCCCTCTGAGGCAGCAGAGGGGCTGCTGGTGACTGTCCTCACCCTGAGCCTGGAGACCAAAGAGGCCCAGGAGGCTAATGAGGGGCTGGCAGAGCATAGCTGACATTAGCACACTGATGCCCACGGCCAGCTGGTATACAAGGCCTTGTTTATGTGAATCTGCAATCAAACCTTTGCTTTGGGGTGCTCTTAACAGGGAATGTACCCATAAAACCACTTCCCGGCCACCCTGGCACACGGAGGAGCTAGGCCCTGTCCTCCATGTCCAGGCTGTCCAGCCTGCAGGGCTCCTCACCTCCCATCAGCACAGAACTGACCCAGCAGGCCTGAGGCTCCAGAGTGCCCTGAAGCCAAGACACGCTGGAGGCTGCTGTCCTGAGGGCACCCTTGCCATCAGGAAATGGTGTCATGGAAAAGACACAGTAGCCAGAGGTCCAAAAGGGGAAAACTGCCACCCAGAGGCCTCTGCAGCACACCCAGGACATGGGGCTGGCTAGGGAGGCAGTCTGGCCCGAGTGCCCGCCATTGACAGGAATGGCCTTGGGGGCGTGGCCATAGAGGGCATGGCCATTTTTGGGCATGACCATCAGAGGATGTGGCCATCTAAGGAAGGCGTGATAATTGGGGGGGGCATGGCCATCAGTGGGCGTGGCCATTGGGGGCAGGGCCACCAGAGCACAGACATCAGAGACTGTGTTATGAGGGGAGTGGCCACTGGAGAGCAGGGCCACAGAGCGGTAGTCATTGGAGGTGTGGGCGTGGGAGGCCCTGCCTGGCTCTGCGCAGGCCTGGCCAGGTCTTCACCACGGCCCGGCCACCACCTGCTGCGCACGCACCTGCTGAGCCAGCTGCAGCAGCTCCATGCGCTCCCGCAGGATCTGGGCATCCCGCTCCCGCAGCTCACTCATGACCTGGCGCTTCCACTGCTCCACGGACACCTTGAGCTTCTCGCGCTCCTCGTCCGACAGCAGCTCAGCCACCTTGGCCCCAGCCTCCTGCTGCAGGGCGTCATACAGCATGGCTTCCAGCTCCAGGATGTGCTGGCGGGAGGGGAGACGCCTTAGTCCTTGCCTTCTCCCCAGAATTAACCTTTCAGGAAGAGCAACGGTGAACGGGCCGCCCTCCGCCTGGGTGCAGCAGGGCGGGACCCAGGGCCATGGCCTCTGCAGAAGGACCTGGGGCCCCATGCACCTCCTCAGTCCGTGAGAAGACCCTGGAAGTAGAGACACCGACCAGGCCAGCAGCAGCCAGGAGCCCGAGCCCCAGGATGGGGGAGGACTGAGCAATGAAGAGGGAAAGTGAGCAGGAGTGGAGGGGCCACAGGTGGACTGCGGGGGCACCACACCCAATTCACAGATCCCTGTAACCCGGTCCCCTTGCTATAACCCAGCAGCGAAAATACATACCTTTTCATACATTCCTGGGGCTTAGCAATTTGCTCTGAGTATTTCAAAATTTTTCTTAGGGAAATTTTATTGATACAAATCTTTGCAAAAAAACAATTCTGACTGTTGAGGCCCTTTCTTCTCAATCAAATGTAACATCTTTAGAGGAGAATGTCTCCTTTACTTCAATCAAATGGTTATCAAAACCTCTTTTGATTTAGCAGAAATTTTAGGAAATAGAAAAAAATCTTTTTGGGCCTCCGTTACACTTTATTGTAGGGGACACATCAACCTCCACTTCTTACAGCAAAAGAGCTCAGTGCCTTTAAGATGAGCTCCAGCTTCTAAAAATAAACCTGGCCAAGTGCTGGCTTGGAATGAACCTCACGGTGGCTTCACGTGCACCTGCTGGCGGGAAGCGCTCACCAGGACCTCCATGGTAACATCAGCTGGGGGCCGCCTGGACGACCCTCCCTGCCTTCAGCAGCCACACAGACCACGGTGTCCCACGCCCACGTCCAGAGAGGCAAAGTTGGTGCTAGCCCCTGCTGTAAAGAGCCTCCATTGCCCGGGAGGAACCAGCCCTTCTCCTCCTTGCCCCAGGGTCTCCCATAAGCAGAGCAGAGTGCAGAACAACACCTCTGTGCTCACAGCCCTGAGAGTCACCTGAGAGCCACACGCACGAATGACACAGGAGAGAACTGGTGAGTGTGCAGGGAAAGGAAGAAAATCAACAGCAAACTCAGAAAACTCGGAGCATCCCAAACCAGGGGGCTTTCCAAATGGAGGTGGAGAGAGAGGCACACACATTACACAGGAAGAGGCCCCTCAATATCACACAGGAAGAGACACACCAGTATCAACCAGGAAGAGCCCCCCGAGCATCACACAGGAAGAGCCCCTCCAGCATCACACAGGAAGAGGACCCCCAGCATCACACAGGAAGAGCCCCCCCAGCATCACACAGGAAGAGGACCCCCAGCATCACACAGGAAGAGCTTCCCCAGCATCACACAGGAAGAGACACATCAGTATCAACCAGGAAGAGCCCCCCCGAGCATCACACGGGAAGAGCCCCCCCAGCATCACACGGGAAGAGGACCTCCAGCATCACACGGGAAGAGGACCCCCAGCATCACACGGGAAGAGGACCCCCAGCATCACACGGGAAGAGGACCCCCAGCATCACACGGGAAGAGGACCCCCAGCATCACACGGGAAGAGCCCCCCCAGCATCACACGGGAAGAGGACCCCCAGCATCACACGGGAAGAGCCCCCCCAGCATCACACGGGAAGAGCCCCCCAGCATCACACGGGAAGAGCCCCCAGCATCACGCGGGAAGAGGACACCAAGCATCACGCGGGAAGAGGACACCCAGCATCACGCGGGAAGAGCCCCCCCAGCATCACGCGGGAAGAGGACCCCCAGCATCACGCGGGAAGAGGACCGCCAGCATCACGCGGGAAGAGGACCGCCAGCATCACGCGGGAAGAGCCCCCCCAGCATCACGCGGGAAGAGCCCCTCCAGCATCAAGCGGGAAAAGGGCCCCCAGCATCACGCGGGAAGAGCCCCCCCAGCATCACGCGGGAAGAGCCCCCCCAGCATCACGCGGGAAGAGGACCCCCAGCATCACGCGGGAAGAGCCCCCCCAGCATCACGCGGGAAGAGGACCCCCAGCATCACGCGGGAAGAGCCTCCTCAGCATCACGCGGGAAGAGAGAGGGCCCCCAGCATCACACAGGAAGAGGACCCCCAGTATCACACGGGAAGATTCCCCCAATTCCTCCAGCGTAGGGGCATTAATCCTGGTCCCACCAGCAGCACTGTGCCTCCCCATGGGTCTTTGGGGCCGAATGATCCCCTGAGTATTTGGCCCTGTCTGAGGCCTGAGGACGCAGCTACCGTGGAGGTGGCAGAGAGAGGTGGCCTTGCGGGAAGCTGGGGCAGCCCTGACTGATCTTCTAGAAGCGTGTGCGGAGACCCACAGCCCTTATCCCACCAGGGGTCCACAGGATGCTTGATCACAAGGACCATGGTGGCAGCTGCTCGGGGCAGGGCGTGTGAGGGATGCGCCACTCCTGGAGCCCTCTGTGCTCAGACCCTGTGTTCTGTCAGGTCAAGGGGGCCCACAGGCTACCTACCCCCTCATGGGGCAACTCCCGGCCCAGTGGAGGGATTCCGGGCTGAGGCATCACTCCAGACACAACCTTACACAGGGATTTTCCGCAACATCAGGGTGGCAAGGGTGAGGGCTGAGTAGACAGGTGCTGCCTGGCGGGCCGGGAGCTGCCCTCCTGAGGCGCGTACATTTCCATTTCCTCTTTACACCTGCCCCACACCCACCTCACAGTGATACTGAAAGGAAACGTGGGAACTTTTGTACAATCTTCTTTTTGTGCCTTGAAGATTTCCTACCATTGGCATGATGACCATCTCTAAGATTTCAGAAACGCATGTCCTTCTCTTCCCTTTCCTGTCTCAAGGTGAGCTGGATTTAAAGGTCTCCACATGACTCCTCAGCTCTTTTCCTCCTCACCTACACAGCACCTGCAAAGCACCTGCTGCCTGCCAGGCCTCGTGCTGGACTAGGAGACCAGGCAGATGCTCATGGTCCCTGCTTGCCCCGAAGGAGGGCAGATCCATTTCCATGAGTGGGGCGTGTCAGGGCTACCTCGCTGGGGTCAGGGAAGGCTTCCTAGAGGAGGCGAGGTGCAAAACTGAGGCTTGCAGTGTCAGGGATGGCCAGGAGAAGGGAGGGTGCTCCCGGAGGACGGAGCAGCAGCAGCAAAGGCTGGGGTGGGGGTCCCCTGTATCCCGGCCTATGGGGGTGGTGCCTGCATAGCAGTGGAGACACTGCCAGCTGGGCTGCTCCCTAGCTGGATCCCACCCTCTCTACCCAGGCAGCGGGCCCTGGTGCTCATGGGAGAGCACTGTTCTAGAGGGTTCTTCATCCAGCAGAGAGGAACCTATCTATACCAGCAGACAGCATGAACAGGATGAGCAAGGATGAGGGAGGATGAGAGGGTGTGAGGAGGCTGGAGAGCAGAGGCCGAGGGGCTGCGGGGGGCAGAGGCTGAGCTGAGGGAGGGGGCGGGGGCTGGATGCCACAGGGCCTGTTGCCTCAGCAAGAAGGTCTCTCCTGTAAGGGCAGCTGGGAGCCCCAGAAGGCGTGAGCTGAGGAGTACCAGCTAGCTGCAGTGTGGATGGCCCAGGGCAATGAGGGGGCCTCTGCTTTTTCATCGGGTGACCACCCACTTCCAGCCTCCTTCCTTCTGACCAAAGCACGCGAGGCCCAGCGACTGCCCAGGAAGCTAAGACCACAGCAGCCTGTGCCTGGGGGCCACCCCATCCCCATGAGCAGGGCAGACAGATGTACTCTATGTGAGGAACTCACATCCACGAGTTCAGGGAGGAGAGATCCCTAGGGTTAGGGTTAGGGTTAGGGTTGGGCTAGTGCAGCAGTCAGGGCTGTGTGCACAGGGGAAGAATGCTGAGATTCGACTCCTGCCTCCACTGTGACTGCGTGTCCTTGGGCAGGTCATCAACTTCTGTGCCTGGCTGGCCAGACCAGTGCCAGACCACGAGAAAGGCTCTTGAGTAGGCTCTCATTAAAATACTATCATTATTATCACCACCATCATCACCATCACCATTGTCACCATCATCAGCACCACCACCATCATCATGGTCCCCACCATTATCACCGTCATCACTACCACCAACACCACCACCACAATCATCATCATCACCTTCACCACCACCACCAGCATCGTCACCCATCATCACCATTATTACCACCACCACCGTCATCACATCACCATTATCACCATCGTCACCATGACCACTGCCACCACCATCACCGTGATCATCATCACCATCACCATCACCACCACTACCACCAGCATCCCCGTCATCACGACCATCACCATCACCATCACCACCACTACCACCAGCATCACCATCATCACCATCACCACTGCCACCACCATCACCGTGATCATCATCACCATCACCATCACCACCGCTACCACCAGCATCACCGTCATCACCATCACCATCACCACCACTACCACCAGCATCACCATTATCACCATCACCATCACCACCACTATACCACCAGCATCACCGTCATCACCATCATCACCATCACCACCACTACCACCAGCATCACCACCATCACCATCACCATCACCACCACTACCATCAGCATCACCATCATCACCATCACCACTGCCACCACCATCACTGTGATCATCATCACCATCACCATCACCACCACTACCACCAGCATCACAGTCATCACCACCATCACCATCACTACCACCAGCATCACCATCATCACCATCACCACCACTACCACCAGCATCACCGTCATCACCATCACCACCACTACCACCAGCATCACGATCATCACCATCACCACTGCCACCATCACCATGATCATCATCACCATCACCATCACCACCACCACCAGCATCACTGTCATCACCACCATCACCATCACTACCACCAGCATCACCATCATCACCATCACCATCACCACCACTACCACCAGCATCACCGTCATCACCATCACCACCACTACCACCAGCATCACCATCATCACCATCACCACCACTACCACCATCATCACCATCATCATCACCACCACTACCACCAGCATCACCGTCATCACCATCATCACCATCACCACCACTACCACCAGCATCACCATCACCACTGCCACCACCATCACCGTGATCATCATCACCATCACCATCACCACCACTACCACCAGCATCACTGTCATCACCACCATCACCACCACTACCACCAGCATCACCATCACCACCACCACCAGCATCACCGTCATCATCACCATCACCACCACTACCACCAGCATCACCGTCATCACCATCACCATCACCACTACCACCAGCATCACCGTCATCACCATCACCACTGCCACCACCACCGTTATCATTGCCATCATCACCACCACCTTGACATCATCACCACCGTTATCATTGCCATCATCACCACCACCTTGACATCATCACCACCGTTATCATTGCCATCATCACCACCACCTTGACATCATCACCATCACCATCACCACCACTACCACCAGCATCACTGTGATCATCATCACCACCACCACCACTACCACCAGCATCACCGTCATCACCATCACCACTGCCACCACCACCGTTATCATCGCCATCATCACCACCACCTTGACATCATCACCATCATCATCACCATCACTCTGAGAGTTCTCAGGCTGAACTTGGCCCTAAGAATGAGCATTTTTATCCCAGCCCACCTTTCCTTGCTTTAAGTAGCCAGGCGGGTCTCCTTACAGGCATAGGGTCAAGACCCCGCCTGCTGGGCTGGGTCCCGAGGTGAGCCTCTTGGTGGTGACACTTACAACAGGGCCTGAATATTCTCCTGGTCGTACCTTTGGTCATGTGGCAGGAGTCCAGCAGGGACAGATGATTGCTTGCACAGTCACGAGGGAAGTAGCTCCTAGCAGGGGAGCCCAGTACTGAAGCCTAGTTTTCAACCTAGCCATGTCCTACGCTCCTCCCAGCCACAGTAGGTGAAAAAGAAGACCA